TTATAATTCGATTCATGAATTAGCTTGATGTATAAATATATAATTTATATAATTGAATTTCTATTGAATTCTAACTTATTAAAATTTGAAAGATTTTTCAAAATTTAGTTATAAGTTAATAATATCCTAAACATGATTTCATAGTTATGAATTGAATTTTTTTATTATATTATGCAAGGTAACAAAGTTTTTTATTTATATAAATTTTGGTTGTAATTGTGTGTTTTTCATTATACCTTATAGCCTTGTAAAATCAATAAAATAAGTTTTGTTTTATTCTTTCCAAAAACAATTAAATAAATAAATGTTTTATCTAAAATCTATTAATAAAATGAAAATTTGAAATGTATAGGTTTCAAAAATTTGAAGTTTTAGTTCATGTGATTTGAGTTGAACTAAACTTGAATCGAGTTCAAAAATCATGTTAAATTTCAAGTTAAGTCAAATATTATCAATTTTTTTCTACTTTTTTATTTCTCTCGACTTTCTCATCTTTCTTTCTCTTCTCTTTCTTTTCTATATTTTTCTCTCTATTTGCTCTTACTCTTCTTTATCTCTTGTATCAATATTAAAGTACAAAATTTTAGAAATAAAATCAATTTGTTTAGTTTATAAAAAAAAATTAGAAATGAAAAATAATGATTTTTAAACACAATTTTAAAAATGATGGATTTGATTATTTTTAAAAAAAATATATTTTTGGACATCTTAATTAATAGCTCTAACATTGCTATATCCGCTAAGAAATGATGTAATTGCAAGACTTCTGATACTTGTGCATTACTATATATCATAATTTAGAATAGGATGTTAGTTGTTATTGTTAGATCCTTTATTTAGACGTCATATATATGATGATAGAACAAATATTGTGAACCACACGCCAAGTACTTTCCTTCTCATGTGAACAAATATTAATGATCATGCCAAATGAAAAAACAAATAAACAATTTAATTTCTTTCAAACTTTATTATTTAAATATTTATAAAAATAAGATGAAAATTAGTATTATCACCTGATTCTATATATATATATATATATATATATATTGTTTACTTTTATCAATAACGTTAATTTTATACAATATATATAAGAAATTCTTCAACTTTTGTATATAAGGATTTTTAACTTAAATATATTAACTTGTACAAACTTTTATTGTGATGTATCACCATTATTTTTCTTTCATAATACAAAAATCTCTAACAATAATTTATAGTCTTGTATAAATGAATAGTAAGTTTAAAAGTATCTTTTTAATAATTGTGTATTAAATTTTTTATTATTTACACATTTGAATTTGAAAAATTAGATCTTAAGTCATAATCAAATAATTACCAAGGCACCACTTTTATATTTGTTCAAGGTACTAAAATACTCAAAATTGACCCTTTATATATAGAGGTTAAAATAGGACATTTTATTAACTGTAAAAATAAAAAAAAAATTTAAAAAATTATAGGGAGCTAACGATTCTAATAACAACACTAGAGAAACTAACACAATGACACGAAACTTTAATTTATCAACTTTAAGGCTTACTCATTTTGCATATATATTCATATAATTAACCTACATAATCTACTTAATAAAAGAGTTGAGTTAGGACTTAATAAATGTTAGTAGAATAGAGGTGACAATGAACTAAATTAACTCGAAAATAATTTAAAACTTAATTTAATTATTAGTTTGTTAAATTTGATTCATGAATTAAATGAGTTGAGCTTAAGATTAATAAATAAATAAGTCAGACTTAAATTACTTATAATTCGATTCATGAATTAGATTGATGTATAAATATATAATTTATATAATTGAATTTCTATTGAATTCTAACTTATTAAAATTTGAAAGATTCTTCAAAATTTAGTTATAAGTTAATAATATCCTAAACATGATTTCATAGGTTATAAATTGAATTTCCTATTATATTATGCAAGGTGAAATAGATTTTTATTTATAAAAATTTTGGTTGTAATTATGTATTTTTTGAGTTGTACCTTATAGCCTTGCAAAACTAATAAAAATAAGTTTTGTTTTCTCTTTCCAAAAACAATTAAATAAATAAATATTTTATCTAAAATCTATTAATAAAATAAAAAATTGAAATGTATAGGTTTCAAAAATTTGAACTCTTAGTTCATGTAATTTAAGTTGAACCAAACTTGAATCGAATTGAATTTGATCTTAAAAGAATTCATGTTAAATTTCAAGTTAAGTCAAATATTATCAATTTTTTCTACTTTTTTATTTCTCTCCACTTTCTCATCTTTCTTTCTCTTCTCTTTCTTTTCTATATTTTTCTCTCTATTTGCTCTTACTCTTCTCTGTCTCTTGTATCAATATTAAAGTACAAAATTTTAGAAATAAAATAAATTTGTTTAGTTTATAAAAAAAAATAGAAATAAAAAATAATGATTTTTAAACACAATTTTTAAAATGATGGATTTGATTATTTTTAAAAAAAACACACACACAAACATTTTTGACATCTTAATTAATAGCTCTAACATTGCTATATCTGCTAACAGATATTGATGTAATTGCAAGACTTCTAATACTTGTGTTTTATTATATTATAATTTACATTGCAATGTTAGTTGTTATTGTTAGATCCCTTTATTTAGAGTCGTTGTTGATATATATGATATTGAACAAATATTGTGAACCACACGCGAAGTACTTTCCTTTTCATTCCTTCAGTTGAAACCAAATATGTCATAGGTTCATGGGAGCGAGTGGATTGCAACTTGCAAGTAATAAATCATTATCGTCTTCAGCTAGTTGACTTGTTTGAGATATAATAAAACTTTAACGTGATCCTCAATTGGGAATTGTCTTTGTCTAAAAGAATCTTTTCGAGAAAGATCTCTTTTGAATTAAGGTTGGACATACTTGACAAATTGAGAGTTTCAAGCAACGCGCAAATCCAGCTTACATGTGTTCTGGGAACACAATTAGTCAATCACTCTACAACTTGATCAACTTATTATCAAGAGTATATCTGTGGTTGTCATCCCAGGTTGATGTTGCAGGGTTACGTTTCCCAACTCTAGTTTATATTAATTTAGTATTGTTATTTTGTTGGGTTTTTTTTGCTCTTATTTCTTTTGAAAAATAAAAAAGGACTCTGACATAAATTTAAATATCATGTCATGGTACCGTTTACTAAACAATTCAACAAACCAAAAAGTACTTTTTGAACATATAACTGATTTTGTGTTAGAAATTTTATTTCGTAATAAGTATCAATACTCCTATTTCAATTTATTTATAAAGTCGTTAATTGAATATTATCTTAATGAATCAAAATATTCATAATGTGATTGACGAATAATAGATTTCACATGATAAATGTACTTGAATAGTATATAGTATATAGTTGAATGGAACCATAATATACTAAAATCATTATAACATGAAAGGATATGGTTTGAATGGATATTATGAATGAACTAATGAATTCCTGTATGAAGGGTAAGTCTCTCTATAAATGTATGTATTGAAACATATGGTCTTGAAAGTTTTTGTCTAGACATACTTACTCATGTAGTTTGAGAAAGAGAGGGGAGATTCTATCCTATAACCATTGTTAGTTAAGGAGTATTTGAAGCCATTCAAGAAAATTACTAGAACATTCAAAGAAGACTTAATTAAGAGAACTTGAAGAACAATAACATCAAGTACTTCTTATTTTGACCAAATAACTTCAAGTAATATATATGAACCTTGTTTCATTATTATGGTGTCCAAATTCATGCAACTATGATCTTATTTATTATTCATGTGATGAGCAAACTATTTAATGATCATGCCAAATGAAAAAATAAATAAACAATTTAATTTCTTTCAAACTTTATTATTTAAATATTTATAAAGATAAGATGAAAATTGGTATTATCACTTGATTTTTTATAGAGAGGCTTTTAAAGCAATACCGTATAGTTTACACTATAAAATTATGATATCATAAAAATAAAATGTAATCTAAAAGAGTAAAAAATATTATATATATTGTTTACTTTTATCAATAACGTCAATTTTATATAATATATATAAGAAATTATCTAATCATGTATATTTTCAACTTTTGTATATTTATCAATAACGTTAATTTTATTACACTTATTATGTTTTCTCTTATCATCCTTTAAAAAAATATTAGTAACATTCTTTATTATTAAATTATAATTTGAATACCTAAAAAGAGAATAGTCTAAACATGTCTATCAACAAAGTTCTCACTTCTTAACCACCTCAAACTTTTATTGTGATGTATCATCATTAGTTTTTTTCATAATACAAAAGTTCCTAACAATAATTTATAGTCTTGTATAAATGAATAGTAAGTTTAAAAAGTATTTTTTTAACAAGTGTGTATTAAATTGTTTATTATTTACTCATTTGAATTTGAAAAATTAGATCTTAAGTCATAATCAAATAATTACCAAAGCACCATTTTTATATTTGTTCAAGGTACTAAAATACGCAAAATCGACCCTATATAGAGGTTAAAATAGAACATTTTTAACTGTAAAAACAAAATCATAAATTTTTTAAAAAAATTATAGGGAGCTAATGAGTATTTAAACATAATTTTAATAACAATTCTAGAAAACAAACACAAGGACACGTAACTTCAATTTATCAACTTTAAGGCTTACTCATTTTGAATATATTTTCATATAATTTTACATATAATTAATATTTAAAGAAGCACTTGCGCTAGACACTCCAATTTCAATAGGATACGTGAAGAAAGTACTCAAGTCTGATCAAACATGTTGCCCGTGAAAATACAAGTTCGATTGAAAGTGGAAAATGTCAATTTTTATGATAACCGCAATCCTATCCAAACTAATGGTGTATGTTTGAATTAGCTTGTTTCATGTTTAAAACAGATAATAAAGCTTACTGTAAATCTATTAAAAAAATGTTTTTTTTCCTCTTCAAATCAAAAACAAAAACAAACATGCAAGTAAATCATTTTGAAGACGCATTGCTCAAAAGGTTTAAATAAATAAATAAAGACGGAGCAACATTAACGACCGTTATCAAAGTAAATCATTTTGATGACGCTGAATTCTCAATCAACTTAGCATCATTTTGTCAGATGGCTTACTAATTAACAATGACCATCTTTACCATCTTAGCGCGTGTTTGTTTTTACGTTTGCAAAGGGCAAATGTGCATTCATTTCAAATCCATCCAGAGACATCCTTTCTTCATTAAGGTGCTTTGGAACGTGCACGGCTATTCAAATTTCAAACACAGCCTTAATCACTAATCATTTTACTTATAGACGCCAAACCACTTATAAAACTAACCCATCAGATGAGAGAAGGATGATGAGACCCCCAATCATCTAAAGAATGCTCGGACATGTATTACTAAAGCCTTTCCTTCACCACTTCTTCGATGAGATATTTGCTGTTCCACACAAGCACCAGTGTCTCGGCATGCACGAATCTTCTACGAGACCGTGGGACAGGGGCTTGGAGATTTAATGCACATCTTTGAGATTTGCATCTAGCTATCTTCAAGGTACTCAAACAGTATCTGTCTGCATACTGCAGCACATAAAAAAATATTAGAACATCCCAAGGTTCATTCCATGGCGCTCTTGAAAACGTGCTGATAGTTAAAAGATAAGACTGGCTCAAGTTTACCACGGCAATATGAATCGTATCACAAAATGGAAGTATGAATGGATGAAAAATGAGAAGATGAATTATAGCCACTAGACTTGCACATTGATAATAATTCCCCATAGATTGGGATGACAAGTCAAGAGCTGGTAAAATAACTAATTACAGAAGTGGAATGGTGGACTTACATTTGGAATGTCAAAATGACCTTCACTTGCATCGCATGTATCCAGTGACAATTTTCGAAGCAATGGCATCTGTAAGTTATGACAAGATATTCAACATCTAATATCAAGTTTCCAACATTACAGAACCAAAAATAAATAAATATAAGCAAAGTGCAACCTCTGAAGCAGCATAACCTATGAAGTTTCTGTATAGCCCAGGGCCCTGCATAGTAAACGACAGCTTCAATATATGATTTCCAGAGGGATCCACACAGCAAATGTTAGCTTCTCTTTTTCAGAAAGTTGTGGGAAAAGACAGTTGAGATCTTACACATAAGTTAGTATTATCTCATTAGTCAAAGTCGCGTAAGTTTCATACTTTAGAAAGCGTAACAAAAGGTGTCTCAACGCAAAAAGAATGACTTCTGAGTTTTTATTTGTAATTATATTGCAGTTCTTATTTAATCACTCAGAATCAAGTTATCACATAATCATCAATTGAAATGTTTAGATCTTCAGAATAGAAGTAAATAAATAAAGAATATAGCTAGGATAATAATGTGCACATCAATCAACAAAATCACAACAGGGCTCAAATGCCATGTCTTGCACTAGGCTTGGAATCTGAAACGCACCATTTTTAGTAAAAAAAAAATGTTTCAACAATTAAAAGAGGCAGAGCCCCTCCCCCTTACTCCCATTCCTTCCTTCTGCTTCTCAGTCAAGCCGCCCCTCTTCTACTATCTATTCTCATCTTCCTCAACTTAACTTGTATTTCCTCACCTTAAAGCATCCTGTTGTCATTGTACTTGTAGAGAAACTTTCAAGCTCCACTCTTTTTGTTCTCCACCTACACAGCTTTGGAATAATTTTATAAAGGGATAGTGCCCTAGGGAGTGAGGGGTACGTGACACTAGAAAAATCATTATTTGGGCTCGAAGTATACCCCAACTCTGAAAAAATTAGTTCATAGCATGTTCCCATTTTTAGAGAAGGTGTATTTTAGCTCTAAGCATAAATCTACGGATTATCTTTAAACATATTTCTAAAGCCTTGTTGAATATTTGGTGGTGCTTAGATTTGATAGTCACTACTTCCATTGCAATTCCAAAGTAATCTTGGGAGCTAATTTTCTTCATCGTTGCAAGTGGATAGTAATGATTATGGCTTGTTTTAAATATTTTATGATTATTTTTTTAATTATTTTGTTTTGATATTAATGTCTAAATTATTTACTTGGGGAAACAACATTTCTGATCACTTCAAAATTATTGCATTATGATTTTTTGTTCAATAACACAATTATATTTGTGAAATGTGAAGTTGTTTAGTGATAAACAAATTTGAAACATATGAAATTAAGACTTTTATCATTGATGAATTTGGTTCAGTTTGAGAGTGGTTTTCTATGAATTATATTTTGAGGGAACCCAAGCTAGAATCCCATATCCATTAGTGGGGGTAACGGTCTAAGTGCACCTAGTTATATCCCAAGATGAAACTGTCAATGCACAGAGAGGGTTGTCAACAAGATGGAGCTAGCCCGATATGAGATGACATCATATGACATGACTTAGAAGAGAGTTGTCCATTAGATAGAACTACCCATGAGGAAGTTGCCACTCTTACACTAGGAGAGGACTTTGAATTTCTAATGGCAGGTTATTTCATTTTTATCTACATCTATTCAAATTTGAAACTTATGGACTTAAAAGAAAATAATTTCTTATTCGTGTAAATTATATTTTGATGTATATTGCTATTCTTTAAAAAATTAGATTACATACAATTATTTCAATTGATTTAACATGTTATAATCAATGAAGCCCATATACCTAGTATGACACGAGTATGATATACGACAATTTCTTGAAATTTAGAATACGATATGTCCCACAAACGTTACTACAAAATTATAGGAAAATTTATGTAGATGTAAAATATTGGTAAAGAAATACACATTTATCATTTATCATTAATTCATAATAATGATGATCACAATTCACAAAAAAAGATATTTGTAATCATAAAAAAAAAATATATAGAATTCAGTTTCTGCTCATACCATAACCAATTTTAGTTCACTATATCAATAAAAGCATCTTTGGTAGAACTTATAACAAATATGAGCTCTATACAATAGCCTAGCACTCAAAAGCATCATTACTAAATTATTGTCTAATGCTATTTGTATCACTCTCCTCTCCCCTTACAATCATTTAGAAGCATAGCTTCTAAGTCTTGTTTTTCCAGAGACAGTTGTGTCAATTCGAGAAGTCTAGCACCATTAGCAAGTGGATGATGTATATCTCTACTAATGTGCCACAACCTTGTCTCTCCTTTTTATACCCTTCATCTAGATAAAAGTTGAAGGTTCAAATACACATAGACCAAATATTCTACCCATTTTAGATCTATTTTGTTTTTCTTCAAAGAATGAATAGAGAAGTGTGTACTCTAATTCCTCTCAAGCATGAGAAAGAATATGGTTACACATGAAGCTTATGTCAAGCTTTTTGGATATTTCTCCTATACGAATCCAAGAAGTATCCTAGAAAAAAAGTTTTGAAAAAAATTGAAAAAGATTGGATACTTTTTGGTTACGCATCCGAAAGTATCTAAGCAGTATCAATATCTAACATGGGTACAAGTACAACACCAATACTTTTCCATTTTTGAAGTATCCAAGCTTCATAGGTTATAATCAAGCCTTATTTGTGAACCACACTAATGCACTATTTGTTCCCCCTTACCTTTTCATAATGGGTAATATGTCCTTACTGAGTCTATGTGACTCATTTGTTATTTATTTTTCATATCATCAGACAACTAAAGTTTCAGAGTACTGGAAATTATTGTCCCTCCCAATAGAACATTTAGTTGATAGGCCTCCATTGTTTTTATGGTACTTTTGACATTCAACAGCTTTAGAAAGTATTATTCTGCAAGATTTACTAGGAAATGGTGCTGAAATGTGTTAAACAGGGAATCTTTCATTATTCTGTTTTCTATTATATGGGCTGAATATTAAAAATAATATCAGCAGTTATTCTTTTCAAATAATTGAATCATGAATTTAGGAATCAGTCTTAATTAGCAATTAAGGGTTGTGAATCATCTTGTAATATATATAGAACAGAATATATCGAGATTAGGCAACAAGCCAAAAATTCTTGACAACATGATGTTAGTGCCCTTGACTGTTGATATTTCAGTAGATTTTATATATAACTTGGTTTAAAAGAAAAATTCAGAATGTTTGTGGTGCTTAAGGTCACCAAACAAAGTAATATTTCAGTCAAACCTAGCCTGTGCACCAAGCCATATGTCCTATTTTGGGTTGGAACGGAGACATCAGGGGACAAGTAGCAATTATTTCAAATTATAAATTTCTTATAATATTAATAGTACATAATCATAAGCTTTAATTCCATTTTGTGCCTCCAAAGTTTTACTTTTTTGGCAAATTTTGCCTCCATGTTGTTTTTTTTCACAAACTATGCCCCCAAACTTTCAGATTTTGGCAATTTGTACCCGCCTATCAATGTACCAACAGAGTGCTAACGTGGATAAACTCAATGATGTGACATGTATGACCTGGATAAACTTTGCACCCTCGAACTCACTTTTTTGATGAAATTTGCCCTCAAAATTTGGCAAAAAAAACAAAAGTTTGAGGACACGAAGTATAATTAGTCCTTCGTCAAACATGTTATGTCATTAAATTTATTCACATCTGTTACAGATATTGTGAATATATTACAGATATTGTAGATACATATATTATGGTTATTATCCTCACTATCAATTAGGGATATGATTAGATTAGTTTCCATAATATAAGAGATTAGTATCTCTATCATTTATTGTATTCACTCTATAAATAAGATTCGTGTGTACAACAATACACACAATTCCTGAATCACAACATGGTATCTAGAGCTTAGGTTCTATTCCTTTAGATTTTTTTTCTTTTTCTTCTTGCAGAGGCCTTCACCCACCGTCGTCGGCCGCTGCCACCGACCACCAGCCCCGACCGCCGCCGGCCGACCACCGCCG